CACAAGGATTTTATATACACATGTGGAATATGAAAGTCACAGTATTAACTGCTTATTTTATGGTCAAGGTTAAAGTTTTTAAAAAGTAGGCCAAACACTAAGATCAAGATAAAAATATCTATATACCTAGCTGTTGAAAGTTCTTCTTACAATAAATACACACGACTTGGAAAGTATGAGAACCCTAGCACCAGCTGCTCAAAAGTTATGGCTAAGGTTAAATTTTGGTATGTTTTTGGTTAAAGTGGGTCAAACGCTAAGGTCAAGAGGTCAAATTTGGTGGTGCTCGAAGAAAGTTCTTGTCACAAGGAATGCACCTGTGAAATATATATAAAAAGCCATAGCCCTATCCAATTAAAAGTTGTGGGCAACTGGTTCAAGTTATTAGACAGAAAGACAGCTACTCGGACGGACAGGGCAAAAATTACTAGTATATACCTCCAAATATTTCTATTTCTAATTTTTTTTCTCCGTGATAACTCTTTGAAATTTAGTGGAGTTGATTTCTAACTACTTGATTATTCTACCGGAATGTAAATTAGGCAGGTCGATAGGTCAGGAGCTAAGGAGGCCTAATATGCATGAAAATCTCGTGCACATCTGTCTCTGTGTCTGACGCTAAGGAGGCAAAATATTCCTGTAAATCTCGTGCGGCTGCCTTTGTGTTTGATGTCAGCGGGCGAGGACTATTGAAATTGGCATGGGAGTCCTCGTGTAATTTTCATCTATGTCTACGTTTTTAAAATCTAAATCTACAAAAAAAAATTTTCCACAATGAAATGAAAATATAAGGAATCACTGTTTAGTTGATATAGTATCCCAGGGACATCGAAGCCCGTCATGCATAAATCATCCCATGTTTCCCACCATCGTTGATGCCCTGGCATACTATACTAATTAGACAGTGATTCTGCCTTAAATCTTCGTTTACATGTGCATCAAAAACAGATTACAGGTAATGCATTAGATATTAATTGTGTAGCCAATTTGTTTGCAAATTTTTGAATGTCATTTAAAGTTAGCTTTCACGTGTAATACGTTCTTTTCATGTAACAAAATTAATATTAGCTTTGTTTGAAGGCAACAATTACATTAATACTCGATGCCGAGCGTCATTAGAAAATTGGAAAAGCATTTTGATGTATAACGACCTTTTCAATAGCTGGAAAAGAATTTAACAATTTGCTTAGTAAATTTTTATTTATTTGTAATAAGCAAATTACAAGGGCATATTACAAGAGAAAATATAAATGTAACAGTTGACAAATAAGGTAAATAAATCAATATACATGTAGATATACACATATATATAGTATTCATTCATCATTTTATATTGAAATGCATGTCTCTAAATGTGTGAGATTGTTTATACAAGATGGTACAATTTTAAAAAAGTAAGATATTGAAATGCAAAAATATATATGAACTGTAGAATCATAATATGTACATGTCCCTGTCTAGACATGTGTGATTAAAAAATGCATTGAATCAAATAACATTTTTGAAAAGACAACTTCATGTATATCCGAGGGCTGAGACCTTCTCCTAATCTAGCTTTTCAATACATTTTTAATTAATGCTGAAATTTGCCTGTGCTCAACCTTAAATAAACACAACTTTGATATACTATATAGTATCATTTTACACAATATATTATTTAAGTACAATTTTCGTGCACACAAAATACAAATATAAAGTGGCATAAACACAATTACAAAAATTGACAAAGGTCCAATAAACATCATTAATTAATATTTAAATGTATGTTTTTCTTATGTGTTATCATAGGTCAAATATGGACTTGTCACAAGGAATAAACCTGTGAAATATATATAAAAAGCCATAGCCCTATCCAATTAAAAGTTGTGGGCAAGGTTCAAGTTTTTGCGGACAAACAAACAGACAGACAGCTACTCGGACGGACAGGGGAAAAATTACTAGTATATACCTCCAAATATTTCTATTTCTAATTTTTTTCTCTGTGATAACTCTTTGAAATTTATGGAGACTATATCTACCGGAATGTAAATTAGGCAGGCTAGTCAGGAGCTAAAGAGGCCTAATATGCATGAAAATCTCGTGCACATCTGTATCTGTTTGACGCTAAGGAGGCAAAATATCCTGTAAATCTCGTGCGGCTGCCTTTGTGTTTGACGTAGCGGGCGAGGACTATTGAAATTGGCATGGGAGTCCTCATAATTTTCATTATACGTTTTTATATAAAAAAAATTTTCCAAATGTATTAGTACTGCTAGTTGTATATCTTCAGGGACTAATGTTTACAGTTTATGGTGTTTACCATAAATAAGTTGAATATAAACGTTTAAATTTTTTAAATGTTATCACAGAACTTGTAATTCGGTAATAAATTTTAACCTGCAATTTTTAAGCATAAAATAACACAAGGTAATCTTCTTTTATGTAGCAAAATTAATATAAAGAAGGCAACAATTACATTAATACTCGATCCGTCATTAGAAAATTGGAAAAGCATTTTGAGTATATCGCACCTTTTCAATCATTTACATTTGCAAAGGAAATTTTTATTATTTGACAAAATATTACATCTGACAAGATGTAAATCAATATACAAGTAGATATAATTTATCATTTTATATTGAAAATCTAAATGTGTGAGATTGTTTATACATGTACAATTTTAAAAAATGCTTGTCAAAAATATATATTTACATAATATGTACATGTCCCTATCTTGACATATGTAATTAAAAAATACATTGAATCAAATAACATTTTTTTAAAAGACAACTTCATGTATATCCGAGGACTGAGACCATTCTCCTACTCTAGCTTTTCAATACATTTTTATTTAATGCTGAAATTTGCCGCTCAACCTTAAACAACTTTGATATACTATATAAATTTTACACTGCAATTTTGTGCACACCAAATATAGTGGAAAAGTACAAAAATTCAACAATATAATGAAATGGTATATGTAAAAGTAAGTATTCAAAACACATAACAAACAGTAATATAAATGCTACAAAGATATCAAACTTGATAATTGTTTTGTGAAATTTCCACCTTTCATAGTATCAATATACAACTATATCTCAATGTTCCAAGAAAACATTAAAAAAATTTTCCTCGCCTACAACTTGCAAACTGCTTGACTAAATCGAAAGTGAAAACGAGGAAATTTTTTAAAGTATAATATTTTAAATCAAAAATTATTCTAAATAAATTCAGCGGCGGTCAATTAAAAATTAAAATATAAATACTCAATGTATTGACCAATCAGATTATCGGATTTCACAAAGTTATATAATATTTAAAAGTAATTGACTTCTATATTCAAAACACATAACAAACAGTAATATAAATGTACAAAGGCATATCAAACATGAGAATTTATTCGTAGATGAAATTTGCCAGTACGCAACTTTCATATCATTTATACAATATGCAACTTGAAAGGTGTGTGTGTGTGTGGGGGGGGGGGGGGTAGGCAGCTTCAAATCAATGTACCAAGAAAACATTAAAAAGACTATTTTCAGAAAAGGGGTCACTAGCATGAAAAGTAGGTCAGTGACCTAGTTATTTGAAATTGAAATTTAACACAAGAATCATAAATGTACAATGTGCAATAGGTAGTTTCTCGTTCCTATCAGTGGAATTTTAAGTCATCCTGAGTAAAGGTATACCTTAAAGGTAACTTCTTGATACAGAGACTACAGTGTCAGTTACCTTTACTTGATTTATGACAATGTGATCTTTAATGCTTCAAGTAAAAGCTTTTTATCATCAACTTCTTCTCTTTATTCAACATGGATACAAACTTGAAATACTTTTAACATGGGTGAAGATAAACATTACATATCGATTTCTAGTCTCCTCGACTATGTAGACATCTTTAAATCTCAAGTAATAACTGAACGCAATTTCTTTGATTCTTTACCATCCTCCTAACAAATTGCAAAGCATGAAATAATTCGTAATTGCATACAAGTATATATATACAAATACATGTATGTAAAATTGATATATTGTCACAAAAACAACTTTGACTATGACATATATAATACATCTACATTTAATGTGTTAATCCTATCCAGAAAGTAAAATAGTATCTTTTACCTGTTGCTCCTAAATCAAAATCTACGATCGTTTGAAATTAACTTTGATTTTTCCAAACTATTTTCAAAGATGTTGCATATCTAAAGTTAAACATTAATTTAGTATATAATTTTATACAATATATAATCAAAGTACAATTTTCAAATACACATATTAAAAATGAGACTTTATACATATTTTAATACTACTGGACTTCATAGTGATTGTTCTTATTTTGTGGTTTTGGGCTCTCTTCAACTGCCATAAAGATATTGGCCACCAATAAAATGAATATTCTCTACTATATTTTCAAAGTCAAATTCAAATATTTAAAAAAAAAACATTAACAATTTTTATATCTTGATTGATTAAACATGCAATCGTAAGCGTTATAACTTGATACATACAATTGAATTAAGGTGTGAAAATACACATATTAATGAATTGAAATATACCAGCAGTTGATATTTTATGCATTAATGTCAGACACGCACACACCCACCCACAAACACATGTATATACGAATAATATATAATAATATGATTTCATGACATCAGGTACGTTGTTACATTATATAAACAGGATTCAAGTATATTCCATCCTGGTGCACTGGCTCTAGGTATTCGGTGTCCATGTCATCTGCTGTGTAATATACAGGTCTATTTTGATCAATGTATTCATAATCATGATCTCCCTGCTGAAATGCTTGATTATCAAACCCTCTTCTGTGATAACTGTTAAGCAAAAGCAATTTTGATTGGCATTTGTAGTTTTATTGAGTATATTATATACAGTATAATGAACTTGCCATTTTGCAGGGGTTCAATAATTTTAGATTGAAATATTATCAAATACATCCAGTTTATATAACCGCCTTAATCTTTTATACATTTGCTGTTTTAAACTTAAATTTTAATCAATCAAAAATTAAAAACTGCTTACTCAGATGGATTCCTCTTCCTGAGAACTAAAATAGCAACTGTTATCACCACAATAACAAGGACACAAGCAACTGGGATTCCGATGTAAAGGCCTGTTTTATCCTTTTCATCTGCTATGATTTCTTTAAAATGAAAAAAAACAACAACAAATTTTTTCAAGAACTTGTAGCTGTTAGACTATCTGCAATATGATCAAAATAAATGTATGTTTCCCTTTGTTATTAAAAAAATTAATTGTGTGTCTGCATGATATAAGCTTGTTGAATAGCAAATTTTTATTTCTGACCGGTAAGGTGTTGGACACAGTTTAACTAACAATCATTGATACTTATCGACAACACATTCAACAGTACTATGTGACAACGAGAAAGAGAGAAAGAAACTAAAACTGTCTGGTTTTTAAAATCATTTTTCTGTGCATAATTTTCAATATAATTCCAACCTCATGTGATGTCATACATTCTTGTTAATTTTAAATCTTTCGTTAATTTAAGCATATATTACAGATATTTAAAAAGATTTTTAACAAAAAATTTTTTCATATAAAAGCATTTTTAAAAAAAGCAATTTTTTTGCTGTATAATCGAGGCCAAATAAGTGAAATGTTTAACGAGACGTAAATTTAGCGATTTGTCCTTAAAATAAGTGAGAAGTTATTTTTTCTACTTTATCCTGCATACATGTAGAAAGATAATGCTAACCTGAATACAGTTGTAAGCTAGATCTAAATATCCTCGCTAAAACGCCAAATTGAATCTCGTAGAATCTCTGCATAAACTGTATTTATTTCATTTAAAACAAGAGGCCCATGGACCTTATAGGTCTACTGAGTACCATGTAACACCTTTCCAGCATTTGAATTTGGTTTGTTTTTTTTAAATCAGAGACATGAAACTCACAATTTTGATAGACGTACCTTTGTTTATCATTACTATATACTTAAGCATGCTGACTTTGGCTTCAAAATACCCAGAGGTAGATAGGGGAAACAAAGAGAAAATGCATTTCCACTTTGTAACCAATTGCGCACCCCATCCCATAGGAACCACACACCCTGGGGCTACATATTTCAAAATTTTATCATAAATTATTTTAATTCATTATAAATGGATGGTTAATACCAAAGAGCAGATTTCAAAGTACTAATTTGTTATCAGACTATATACCCCCTGTACCAGGGGCCCGGTCCTAAAATTAACCATTTTGGAACAGGCATCTTTCTTCATCATGAAAATGTACTTAGATCATTGGCATAATACACAAGACCCAAGGAAATGATTTCCCGATTGTCTGAAGTTGACATCAAAAAGATGCTTGAGTTTTTGATTGACAAAATTTATATGGTTTTTGGAGACCAGGTATTGCAACAATCTAGTGGAATTCCCATACAGTGTAAGTACCAATTGCGCTCCGTTATTAGCAGACGTATTTTATATTCATATGAAGCAGAATTTGTGCAAAATCTTATGCGTGAAAAGGAGAAAACACTGGCTGTGGCCTTCAACTCGATATTTAGATATATTGACGACGTATTGTCAATTAACAATGGTAATTTCCATTCCTACGTCGATACGATATATCCTGGTGAGCTTGAGAAGAAAGATACCACAGAGTCTGACACATCTTTTTCATACTTGGATATTTTACTCAAAAAGACGTTAATGGTAATCTAACAACCAAGTTGTATGAAAAACGTGATGACCTTAACCTTTCTATCGTCAACTTCCCTTACTTATGCAGCAATATACCTTCATCACCTGTATATGGAATGCATATATCTCAGTTGATTCGATACGCAAGAGCATGCTCGGCGTATGAACAATTTCTAAACGAGGTAAATTATAGACAAGCAAGTTGATGAAATATGAATATCAGGAGTCTCGTTTAAAATCATCATTTCGTAAGTTCTATGGTCGATACAATGACCTTGTCAGCAAATACAATTTATCATTGAGTCAAATGCTGACTGACGTTTTTCATACCAATTATTAGTCCATTATTTATACACTGAATTGATGAAGGATTTTTCCGTTATTTCCCGATCATGACAAGGAGGACACGGCAGGTGTTATGCATAATGTTCAACATTATTAAATGGAAATTAATAGCTTTTTTTCTTCCAATTTTGAACCCATTAAAGTTTGAGTAAGGAATCAGCTTAACCTTAGTCTAAAAAAATATTTATTTTACTTGATGTTTAGAAGGCAAATAATACCTGAGACAATTCACTTGAATTTGGCATAATAAGATGTATACATACATTGAAGGAGCGTTGTAAAATAGTCTTAATCTTTGGGGGAAAATCAGTTTGAAAAAAAGAATGCACAGCGTACATTAGATTTAAAAACTTACGATGCTTAATCTTTTCACAGATGCTATTTGTATCTTTGTCCCATGTTCCTGTGGACGTACAAATCAAATGTAAAACACTCGCTTTGAATTCTTTGTAACACGCCACTTCGCACTTCTCTCCAACGTACCCCTGACATAGCGAAGAAAAATTACCATTTCTGATTTCCAAAGCACATCTTTGCTCTGAAAAGAAATGCCATTTCATCGATTTACAAAAGTCGAAATATGGAAATCGCAATAAGTTATGATTATACACGTGTGAAGCTAAATCCAAAGTTAACGTTAAGAAATTTTGAAAAAAAGTTTATTTTAAAACATATATCTTTACAAGTTATCTTTCATATCATATGCTTAAAAAGTTTGACATGAAGAACTCTTTCTTACGCTTGCATAAATTCGGCAGTGTTGTCACTCCAGGTTCCTCCCGATGTACAAGAAATACTTTGAGAGGTAGGTTTGAAGTTAATGTCACATGTAAATGAGCACTTGTTTCCAATTTGTCTTTCACATCTTGGATCTAGTTTCCCGTTTTGAATCATTTTTAGACATAATCACACTAAGGAAAATGACGTAAAAATTGTTAATTGCATTTATTTTAAGATATTTATTATGCTAATATTTCAATTGAAATAAAACGTACCACAAAGATCGCCTGGGTCATGATTCCAGTAGCTGCTTGAATTACAGGTAACATTTGTAAAAGATGGATTCATTTCAAAAGGACTGTTACATTCATATTGACAGGTTTCTCCAATGTTTGACTGACAGTCTATAAATTTGCCATTTTGTATACTCTTCGAACAGCTAGATCCTAAATGAAATTACAATATGTACATGTACATTATGAAGTTTTTAGTGTCACAATACATTCTTACTTTGAATTGTTTCCCCTTTTGCTGCCAATCACCTTAAGTTTTTGGACACTGTGACTTCCATTTTGATTCCTTTTTAGCGTAGCAAATTTAAATTATTAGAAATGATTGTTTCTAACTTGAAATATTTGATATTTTCCATATCAACATGTGACTAAAATTATTCGAACTCCAAAGGATTAAAAACATTTTAATGATCCAAACTTAGCATTCGAACAAAAAAGCATCCAGGCAATTGATAAATATCCTTTTATTCCTGATGATCATTGATAGCAAGCTTATAACAAAACTTGTTAAGAGCAATATAATCTAATTTTTTGTATGTTGTCATTTTCACATATTTATGTAGGGACACACGATTTTTGCCTGCATATGGTGTATATACAGGTATCTTCCATATGTTATGCAATTGATTATTTTCTTAACATATATTACAGGCTATTGGCAAATAAGTAAATGTCATAGGGAATAAAATTTCACAAGAAATCAACAGTAGCAAAAATATGTGGACGCTTCTCTGACTGTTTAATGATAATACAAAACAAATTAATAATGAATAATGACAGAATTATTTGATGAAGTTTGAGTTATTTCATAAAAAAAGAGTGTGAATTCATTTTAATATAATCTCCTTCTCGCTTCTTCTTTTTTTTTTTAGGAAAAATAATGTGGATGCAGAGAAAATATTGTAGCTACTACCCTTAAGATTTTGTAAACCAATTGAAAGTGGTTTTTATGTGTTAATATAATAGGATAAGATTGCTCAATTTAATTAAAAATATTTCAATAATGTATACATTCTTTAAATAATAAATTTGACAAAACAATGCATATAAATAATTTATTAAAGGACATTATCAATATTGAATTTGCTTACGTTGGCATAATTCTGCGGTCGTTTCGCTCCAACTACCGTCTGAAGTACAAATAATGCTTTGAGAGGAAATGGATGATTTGTGACCTATGTCACAAGAAAATGAACAGGTGCTGCCAATAGTTCTCGGACAACCTGGTCCTAGATTTCCATTTTGGATTGTTGGTGTGCATAATTGTACTGAAAAAAACAAGAGGCCCATGGGCCTTATAGGTCACCTGAGCATTATGCAACAACTTTCCAGTGATTGAATTTGATTCATGTTTTAAGCCAGATGCTATGACATGATTCACAATTTTAATGGCATCATTGATCTTTATAACTATACACTTAGCAGTTGCTTAGTTTGGTTACTTAATACCCATAGGAAAGGCAGAGGAACAAAAAATGCATTTCAACTAATCAGTACTATTCAGCAATAATCAGTAGTGCCCCTACCACACATGAACCCTTGACCCTTAGGCCTAGATCCACACATTGCACAATTTTTGAAAAGGCATCCTTGCTTTTCAAAAATATTTGATTAATACCAAGGAGCAGATTTCAAACAATTCATTCATTTTTAGTCTATAAGTAAAGCCCCCTCCTCTATAGTACCCTGACCCTGGGGCCTTGAAATTCACAATTCTGGAAGAATGGGTCTCGATTCATAACTATATAGGTAGTTCAACTGCTTAATACCCAGGAGCAGAGAAGAAGATTTTCAAAGAATTCATGAGTTTTCACTATATAATCAATAGAGCCCCGCCCTGACTCCAGAACCCCTGACCCTGAGGTCCTAAAATTCACAATTTTGGCAGAGGCACTCTTGCTCATTATAACTATGCACTTAGTTAGTTTATTTAATACCTAGGAGCAGAGAAGAAGACTTTCAAAGAATTCATGTATTTTCACTATATAATCAATAGAGCCCCCCCCCCCACACACACACAAGAACCCCTGACCCTGGGGCTTTAAAATTCACAATTTAAGTAGAGGCACTCTTGCTCATTATTATAACTATGCACTTAGTTAGTTTATTTAATACCTAGGAGCAAAGAAGAAGACTTTCAAAGAATTCATGTATTTTCACTATATAATCAATAGAGCCCCCCCCCCCCCCCCCCCCAACACAAGATTTTTGACCCGAGGGCCATGAATTTCATAATTTTGGTAGAAGTACTCATGCTCATCAAAATTATGCACTTATTTAATCTATTTGATACCCAGGAGCAGATAAGAAGATTTTCAAAGAATTCATGTATTTTCACTTTATAATCAATAGAGCCCCCCCCCCCCAATACCAGAACCCCTGACCCTGGGGCCCTAAAATTCACAATTGTAGTAGAGACACTCTTGCTCATCATAACTATGTACTTAGTTAGTTTATTTAATACCTAGGAGCAGAGAAGAAGATTTTCAAAGAATTCATGTATTTTCACTATATAATCAATAGAGTCCCCCCCCAACACCAGAACCTCTGACCCTGGGGCCCTAAAATTCACAATTTTGGTAGAGACACTCTTGCTCATCATAACTATGCACTTAGTTAATCAATTTAATATCCAGGATCTGAGAAGAAGATTTTCAAAGAATTCATGTATTTTACCTATATAATCAATAGAGCCCCACCCTAATACCAGAACCCCTGACCCTGGGGCCATAAAATTCTCATCATAACTATATATGTAGTTTGTTCATTTAATAACCAGGAGCAGAGAAGAAGATTTTCAAAGAAATAATGCATTTTCACTATATACTTATTTAGCCCCGCCCTAGCACTAGAGCCCCTGACCCCAGGGCCATGAATTTCACAATTTTGGTAGAGGACTAGAGTGCTGATTACAATCATGCAAACAGTTTGACTGCTTGATGTCCAGGAGTAAAGAAGAAGATTTTTAAATATTGCATTAATTTTAGTGGTTTTGGCCCCACCCTCAGGCCCCATGGGGGCAAGGATCATGAAATCCACAATTTTGTTCCCCTTCACCCATAGATGCTTTGTGCCAAATTTGGTTGAAATTGGTTCAGTAGTTGCAGAGAAGAAGCTGAAAATGTTCAAATGTTAACGTGCATAATTGTACTGAAAAAATAACAATAGGTCACCTGAGTTTACTCAGGTGACCTAATAACATACTTCTTACAGAAAAAATAATTTCATTGTAATTAGATATGCTTTTTGTCCATTTTGTTGTAAGTAATTAGCTATAGAAGAATTACACTCACTGCATAAGTTGTTTGTATCATGGCTCCATTCCCGGCTTGTATGGCAAGTAACATTTAGAATCTTAGGATTTATTTCAAAGGGACTGTTGCATCCATACTGACACGTCTCTCCAATTTTTGCCGAACAATTAGTAAATTGGCCATTTTGTATCGTCTTTGAGCAGCTAGAACCTTGAAGCGCATTGATTATACATTACATTACGTGTATCTTCAAAACATAACAATATTTTTAACATATTTGTAACATAAATGCATTTGTATTTAAATGAAATTAATACACGTTCTACAAATTGATTCAAGCTAAATCTCTTTATTCCATTTTTTCACGAAATTAATAATCTTGAAATAATACTAATAAGACGTTTCGTGGATTCTTACGTAAACATAAACTGTTGGTATCCAGGTTCCATGTACCGTTCATAGTGCACATTAAACTTTGCAAAGTCGTTCGACTATAGCCTTCAGAACACTCAAATGTGCATGATTTGTTAACGCTTCGCGAACAATTTGACGATAGAACAGCATTTGTGAGTGATGGTGAACAAAATATTTCTGAAAATGAGACAATATTTTAATCAGATTCACTAAAAAAGAAAGATAATAAGAAATATTAGTTGTAGATAATAAACAAAAAAGCACATACATAAAAAAACTGAAATATAACAAAATAGTTTTGAACAGAACACTAACAAAACGTTTGATACCTTCTAAAATACATGTGCAAGGTCAACTTTGAGAATTTTTTAAAATCATTTTTGCTACATGTAATAAGTTTGGGTTTTGAATTCAGTAAAAAAGTCCGTTAAAATAAAATTAAAAGGGGGGATTTTTTCAGATAGAAATTTCAATGCCAGTATTTTTGAGTTAGTTTTTCATTCGACAAAACAATGCAAAGAAAATCATAAATATTAATTCGATGGCGAATCCATCTCCTACCCTCTTTATATTAGAAATATAACTTGATTGTTTTACTATGAAAATAACAATAAAGTGTCGATATAATGTCTCAGGTTTCTTATTGTAATCATGATGAAACAAAGTATAATATATTAAGTTTTTCAGTGTACAAATAAAGTTTACAATCTTTTCTATACTTAGTCAATGTGGTAATTTTCATCCTGCTTATATATTTTTTAACAATACTGTATCTAACAATACACTTTTATTTTAGATGGGTACTTTATACAGGGAAATTTTCGCCCCTTTCGCCATCTCCTTGGTTGGGCGAATTTAAAACGGGGCGAATTCAAATTACACAGCATAATTTCTTAAACAGAACTATGATGGAATTTAAAACGGGGCAAAAATGTTCAAATTCAAAAACATTGTTTTATTCTGCTATTCAGAAAATCACATTGTTCCAGCTATTCTATAGAAGATGAAATATCTTGAACTAAAACCACAAATCAATTTTCACGTAATTTATATTTTAGTACAATGTACTTGTATACAAATTACATATACATGTATTATACGCATAAGCAACTGAAACCTGAACATAGAGATGCCGTGGGTGGATCCCATTGGCTAAGCTGGTTACATGTAATAGAAGTGTTGACGTCACGTCTAAATCCAGGCTTGCACTCAAATTCACATATTTCTCCAGGAAAAGCAAGACAGTCTAGCAAATTGATATTTGGCAAAGGAGAAGTGCAGCGGAATACTGTCAAAATGAAACCCTGCATATGTTAAAACTGACAATTTAAAAAAAAACAATTTAAATTGATAATGTATATACATGTATCAATAATTAACTTCCAATAAGAAGTATAACCTCCTTGGCATGTTTTTTGGTCTGCTTGCAAATTAACATTATCCTGACATCCACACGTTCTTCCAGTTGGTGTAGAGAAACAGAAAGTACTGCAGTTACGGTTCTTTTTTGAACAAATGGCGTTCACTGAAGAATCAAATTATTACAACAGTGCTTGACTTTTAAACTATATCTTTGTTTTTCTCTTTAATTAATTGATAATCATTAAAGAAAAAGTAATTTACCGTCCATAGTATCGTCTGCATATATATCTAGGCTATCTAGTCTACCAAGTTCAGGGTAATTAGGCATAAAGATTAGTTTAGCACCTGTTGCTTTATCCATTTTTGTAATGCGTCTAAGGATAAAAATGAAAAAATAAAATCCACCAGAAAATGTACACTTAAAATGTTAAGAGTTTTATACCCTCTCGCATAAAATATAATTGAAATTAAATTGAAATTGAAAACAGAATTAAACTAAATGTTCACGATAATAGCGTTTTAATACAAAAAGCAAGGGATTGAAAATGAGATCGAAATTATGCAAGGCTAAACCAAATAAACTAGAGTTACTGTGAGCACTCAGCTAACTTAATGATACTCCCGCCTTCCATATGATTTTAATGAAAAAGGTCCATGTTTTCTCTGGGAGATACCAAATAAGTGTCAGATCAAAAAGTAAAATAGAAGATACACAATGGCATTGTGTAATAAACAATCGGTGAAAGCATCATCAAATTTTATTCAGTGGTAAAGGGGGATTGTGGATATGAGATGAGTACCCTTTAATATTAAAGAAAGAATGACAATGTCCACGTTTTGATCATGGAAAACGAAAATATGTGTCCAATCAAAAAGTAAAATAGAATGTACAAAATGGTATTATGTCACAAAGATTAAATAAAAGTCTAATCAAATTTTATTCAGTGATTCAAGAGGAGTTGTGGATATAGATGTGTACCCCAAAGCGTAACAGACGGACGTATAGACAGAAAGACAACTAGACGGACATCCGGATCACTACAAAGTTACCCTTCCTCTTTTCTAGCGGGTATAGATAAATAATTGTAATGATCTAATAATGCAAGCAGTTTTCATATGCAGATAAAGAAATTAACAATTTATGCAGCAAAGAAATACATGCAATGTTAGTTCTTTCAAAAGATTTTTACTGTCGATTCCATGCAGTATAATAGAGGTATTGTCCGTGAACCACAATGCTCATCAAATGTGCGTCACTGTCAGTTGTCAAAATATTCCTGTTCTCACCATTTAAATCTGAATACTCTATGCTGTTCTTCAAACCATCAGCCCAAAATATTTTGTTTGCTAAAATGGATTAAAAATTATTGTTTATCGTCACCATAGACAGTTTCATTTGTTAATACATGTATATAAAAAAGAATTTAATGAAGTAAACAAATTTCCTTACTGGCAAAATCAATGGAAAAGCCGTTTGGCCAACCAATATTCGTTGTTGCAATATACATTTTGGATGTTCCATCCATATATGACCTACTTATTTCAGCAATATTTCCAAACGCTGTCCAGTATAAAAACCTGATAAAAGAGCGGAATTTGGGTTTAAACTGAGGGTTAAAAGATATTTGTTGATAACATGTATTATAAAATTCCCACAAAACAATATTACATACAGCATATGTATTGCTAAAATCTGCCCCATCCTGTTATCAAAATTTGTTGAAGTCCTGTTATAAAGCAATCATTCAATATTTTCCTTAACTGTTCCAAGTTTTCTATTAAAATTCTGAAAGATTTTGTGAGCAAATAGTAATACATGTATGTAGATATCGTACTGAGTTCATAAGCAAACTTTCCCTCTGAAAACTTCAGAATCAAACGATTTTTTTAACTAGATCTAGCATCGAATCAACGATAGTTTTTGACGTCAAAGAAGAACAAAGTCCAAAATTGTATTGTTTATTCAAATTATACTACTATATAATTTATTGCTTACATATCAAGAACTTTTCAATTTTAGACTTTCACTGGGACAGAAATATTTCTTTTAATTAATTTTTACTGAATATATTTCTTTAAAACAAATATCTGTTTAGAAATTCTATGTTTATCAGACTAACATTTCTTCTAACTTATTGTAAATAAACGAATTTGCATACCCTTTCGATGGATATACCGCAATTTCTCTTGGACTGTGTAGGTTTGTCAACAATGTTTTATGAAGTAAACTCCTCCTGTGTATAACACCAATATAACTTTGAGACTGACTAGAACCGACTGCAGTGTAGTAAATATTTCCAGTGGAATAGTCAATAGTTAAACGATCAGCATGTGCAAAACCTGTACGAGTAGTAAGAAAATATATATGTTAAGTGTCTAAACGACAGCAATTTTAGCTATATATAACAAAAGAATTGTGAAGAATCTAATAATCCAAATGTTGTCAATACCTGTGGCATAGATCAAAGACGTGTTTGTTCCATGAAGTGTTGTGGACATAATTGTTTTTGTTTGTACTTCAGAGTAAATGAGTTCCATTGCTGATTTATCAAATGTGATGCCTGGAGAGTTTTGTATATTGATCGGCAGTTTGACAATGTTTCCTGTGTTAATATCAGCCTGAAGGATTCGGCCGTGAGAATAATCCAAAACTATAATAAAATTCTTCAAAAAGAAACCTAAAATTAAAATTAAGAAAAATTGATTGATCAAAAAAATCAAAATGTTCATAGGTTGAATAGATTTTTATGCGCCCGGATCGATAGTTCAGGGCGTATATTGTTTTTGTCCTGTCTGTCTTTTTGTCTGTTTGTTTGTTTATTTGTCTCTTTGTCAACTTTAACCTTCGCCACAACTTTTGAACCGTGAGAGATAGAGACTTCATATTTGGAATGCATACTTCACTAATTTAGTTTTTTTTCAAATGAGAGGTCAATGGCCTTGTGACCTTGACTATTTGCTAAAAAATTAAGTTCTTTCAAATTATACCAAGGTCAATGACCTTGCGACCTTGACTATGTGCTAAAAATAGCTTTTTCGAATTTTGTTGCCGCCGGTCGCAAAGTGTTTCACAAACACACCTTTTTGAAGTTTAAATTAAGAAATTAATCTGAATAACAATACATACTACTTTCGCATGTCAAATCTTTTGCTTGTAGTCCAAAGTCGCACTCGCATTTCCGTCCATTTTGCAAAGGCACACAAATTCCTTCGCAGCCACCATTCAGTATTTGACAACTGCCTATATTTTGTAAAAGTTGATAAAAATGAACTTGCTGTAGAAAATGCCATTTAGCAGAAAGGGTATTTTTAACTCTTTTATCTAAATTTTATTCTGTATGAATATTCATGTTGTCTAAGGGAATGACAATTTAAGCATTTCAATTTTTTTTTATAAAAGCTTCTAAATGACATGACAATTATGAAATTCCTCCCTAAGTAGTAAAAAGGATGGACAATTTTAATTGTCATATAGCATATGTATATTTATATTCTGTTGCAACTGACTATGGACTTTACCTCTCCTGTCCTGTTGTATTAAAGCATCAAATATAGTCATATGTTTTATGTTTTGTATTACATCTACTTCATACTCGGCAGATATAGCTGACCTTCTAGCAAAATACGTTTTGTTTCCATTTATCCAACCGAAAAAATCCTATAAAGAAAATAAAATCGTGATAAATAAAATGAAAAATACGGATAGGTCTTATGGGATGACCTAAAAAATTGAGCATGTTTCGAAAAAAAAAATTCCGAAAACATTAACTGCGAATGTAACGATAATAAAATTATTTTTTAAATTGTATGAAATATATACATGTACCACTCTTGCATGTGATTTTTAAAATAGAATTTAAAAAATAATTTCTGAGATTTATAATAAGGAATCAGAGTAATAGAGACTTAAATTTTAAGCTTTTATTTCAATTAAGCAGTTGACGTCGATGATATATATAGAAATGTCTAATTGTCTTTATTCTCTTTTTTGCTAACAATTTTCCTCCCAAATGCATTATGGTCTTCGTTTTTTCGAATAAGCACACTAGTGATACTTAGACTAACCTTATATGGTAACGCCTCTGTTGCACCAAATGTGATAAGATGGCTTTTAATATCAGATCCATTTATAAATGAGCTTTTAATCATAGAATTATCCAGCCAGTAAATTCTAAAATTTTAAACAAGAATGCATAACTAGTATTTATTTCCCGAAATGAATAATTGATAAATATCCTGTAAAATTCAATATTTTATTGTACTGAGTACTCTAAAGAAATAGAATTAATAAAATAGAAAGTCTGCTATTGCAAGCAATAGCGTATGTCGCCCCGAACTGGACAAGACTTTCATTTTTTCATCACTACAACAATACACACTAACTAAGCTTGGACAACCATCAACTCGTATCAGTCCTTTCGGTACTTTGATTTGAAAATCAAAGTTAAAGAATATTCCGTTCGGGCGATATAATAATTACAAATATTTATAACGTGATAAAATTATAAAAACAATGTTTAAATTCAAATACAAAACTAGAGCTCCAAGGCGCGACGATAAAAACACAACATAAAAACTATATCCAACTAGAAATCATGATATCTAATATGTATGATATAATTATACTGAATGAGACTTACTGCTTGTGTGTATCTCTATACAGTTATATTATGACGTGCAATTTGTATATTAAATAGGAAAGACTTTCATGTTAGATTAAAGAAAAGCTGTAACTTGGTATCATGAAGTACATTCCTTAGTGATTCCTTAGCGTCAGTTTGCACTGCAGATGACATAAAATGTACCTGTGACTTGTAACATCATATCGAAGAGAAGTCGGATTACTGAGATTTTCCTCGGACACAATGGTTGTCGGAGAATTCCTATTCCAATTTCCTCTCATTATCGTCTTCCTAGAGGTTCCTGATATCCAGTAGAGGTCTCTGAAATCAAAAATAAAAACAATATACATTCTTTATGTGAGTTTTGTCAATAATATACAAGTCCAGAGATAATTATTTCCAATTCTTTTAAATGTTTTCTTTAAATCTTTCCTTACGTCTTCATACTGTAATGCCATTGCATAAGGAAAGACGAACTATTTCAATCTGCATTTCTCTTCTTATACACACGTGACTCCCTTTATATTAAAAGTTTCTTTTGTTTTGATAAAACATAACTTTTAATGTGAAACTTCACAAAATCAGCAACTTGTTAACAACCAGGATTTTCCTTTCAAATAATAACCAAGCCCTTTCAATTCCAGAAAAAAAGCTCTTTATATAAAAAGTAAGGGGTATATATACTTTATTTTAAATAGTTTTGTAGTTTACTGCGAAATAGCAAATATTGAACGCAATGTTATTTTTTAAATTTTGCATTGTCATAAGCTTAAAATTGAACACTTAGTTCTCTTTAAATCAAAGAATATTACTATTAGAACGTCCAAAGAAAATCTGGAGAACACGAACAGAAATCAAGTTTAAAGGTCCCTAAAACAACTAAAAACCACAACTAGAAAGCAAATGTAATATTTCAATGAAGAATTGATTATTTCCAAATTAGATACCATCGATACTGAATCAACAAACCCATTATGAGCATCCACTGTTAGAGATGAAGGCTGTTGAAGTCCGGAGTATATTAAAGTTGTCGTCCCAGAAGTGATAGAAAATGCTCGTATTGCAGATTGCGCAGGTTCAATCCACGCAAGAAGATTAGCAATCCAGTCAAAAATGAGATCTGTTTGGTAATTTAAAAAAAAATTTAAACAAAGGATCGAACAATTATTAATAATTTGATATTAATATTGCCCTGGATATATATATGACCAAGATGAAAGTGCTGCTTATCTATCCTAAAATTCGTTTGGATTTAACGCACATTTACCGCAACAAGAAGTTAATTAAAATATATTGTTTGCCTTAAGAAAAAATACAACCTCTGAATGTTTACTTTGGAGGGTAAGTTAAAAAAGAAAGCTGTCACTTTTCGTTAAAATTTTACAGTTGAATGATGTAAAAATGACTACACTTACCTGTAGCGACCACATTGGTAGCCAGAGTTCTAATCTGACGATTAATGATATTTAATTCTTCCAATGCATTACTACTGGTGTCCAAAAAGTAGATAATGTGCAAGTTGGCATCCACAGCAAATGATCCAATAATGGCGGAGGGTATCAGGAATGGAATCCATCCTTTTCCTCCATTAATGAATTGAACTTCCACCATAGCAAAATGTGTTGCATTGCTTACAATGAAGCCTCTCTCGTGAAACCAGGAACGGTCTAGATGTCATTTTTATTGTGAAAATTATTAAATAGCAATTATATTGATAAATTTAAAATTTTTATTTGAGAGATTATTTTTTTTATTTTTTTTATTTTTTTTGAGAAATGTGTATATAGAATTATTTTACGAGCTAATTTTAGGAAATTTTAGCACGTGCTTGAAAAAGAAAATGGAAAATGTAGATCCGAGGGATGGTCAAAAAGTTGCAAACAAATTGAATATTTTCCATGATTACCATGAAACATATAAAATTAGGTTTCATTGTTCATTATTTTTTTTAAGTAGCCCTCTCTGATTTTAATGCATATCTGCCACCGTTCTACCTATGCGCGATTCACGTGATCGAGGCGGTCACGTGACTTGCACAGAAGCATTCTGATCATAGAGCTGAAATATTTTTCCATGTCTTATATTTCTTGCCATGCAAGTTTATTTTTATAACAAGAACAGTGCATTTGTCAGAAATGATATCAATCTCGGAAAAAGAAAGGCTGGATAAGCATATCATTTTCTAGAAAGAACATGGTGATCATCACAACCGGAGTCCTGTCTTAAGAACGCCGTTTATCCAACATGGATATAGCTGTGGGGGCCTTCTTTTTATCATATTTAATAGGCTAAAACTTTACATTAAATGATATTTTAGGAATTTAATTATATTTTTATTGTTAAAATATTCTACGATTTTTCTAGATGTAACTTCGCAATCTTTCTTAACAAATTGCATAACAAAGGACACATGCTTTCGCTGGGCTACAGAACTAATATCAGTTTTAACCATCTCCCTCCCTTCAACAGAACAATCAATCCAATTCATGATTGAAGGTCTGGACATTCTTTTGGCTTCATAAACCTTGTACAAATTATTATAAGATACTTCAAAGGAATTTCCGAATTATACGTTAAACTTTACAGCCCTTTGTTGCTCGAGTAAGACTGTGACAACCGTTTTTGAAAATATAAAGATAGTTCACGAACTTTTTGATCATCCCTCGTAGATGTAGAAATTGACCTCTCAGACATTGGCCTTTAAGCCAATAGGCTTTTTTAAAAGGTATTCGAAATGCATGTCCTTATAAATTTGAAGGAAATTAAATCGATTAAACAAAATCACCGGATTGTTCTAGAGGAAAAATTGAACATATGAAAGGCTTACAGAGCCTGGAGAAAAGACAAACAAGTTGCGACTCTTTTATGATCGGAAATATCATTTACCCCTGATCTCATGAAATTAAATTTGTTGGAATATGAGAAAAGATAGTGAAATAAAAAGAGATATTGAACATTATTCAAGCTCAAAAGTCTACTTATACAAATCAGAAGAGCAGATCAAAAACAGAGGCTCTTAATTAATCATCAGAGATGGGATCAGGTGCCAGAAAGGCGTGAGCATCCCCGCCCGGTTACACCTTCCTTGGGCTCCTTGTCATGATCGGGAAACAGCAGGAAAATCCAGTCAAGTTTACTTACCTGTGCAGGACTTTCCGTCTGAGGATAGAAGGTACCCCTCAGCACAGAGACATTTAGCTCCTACTGGCGAGTTTACACAGATATGCTGACAACCTCGGGAAGAACACTGACCTATATATCGTAAAAAAATTATGCATTTAAATGGCAAACAGAGAAAGCAATTTCTTATAAGCACAAAACAATCTTTCCTACAATAAAGAAAAAAAAAAACAGAAAATGAACTTCTAAGAATAATTCCCTCAAATTTTGTTTCTTATTCTATTATTGTAGGAAACCCGAATAAAGAGAATTGACAACACTTTTAAAGTGTTATGAATATTTTCTGTTTATAACTGCTTATCGTTTTATTTTTTAAAGCTTATTTAACCTTAGTTATGCACCAAAAGTATGCAAAAAGTTTTCCAATGAAGCCTATACCTATATTTAAACAATTCATATGACATGAATCAAACAATTTTTAGGACAAAAATGCAAAAAAAAAATGTCAGAGGATACTATGTTCAGGATAACTTTTTACACCCAATGCGGGGCAATTTCTCACGCCCCGAACTCTAAAATTATTATTATATATAATTTTGACCAAAATGAATGCCTTGCATTAGTAACTTTAATTTTATACTGTACCAGCGTATGATCTTGCTGATTCTCCGTCATAGACGTGAATGGCATACGGCTGACCTGACAATTGCAGATTGTACAGTTGTGATCCTGATATTGTATCTACACCAAAGATCAACCTAGCCTTTAGACTTGAAACATGTAGCATATTCTGTTAAAATATAAAATGTACTTTAAGAATCGTGTGTTGTCCTTTCTGCAATCCATACTCTATCAGTAATTTTGAAATATATGCAACACAACTGTAAGCAAAAATGCATAAGCTTGAAACAATCGAATATAACCGATGTTAGCTTTTCTGCACCTTACAAATCTTGATATTTTCGTGATTTATGCCTCTAATTGAATTTAACTTATTTATTTTTAGTTCATTGCAGCTTATTCATAAAAAGATCTATAATACAGAAAATGCAAGAAGTAGCATCTGCTATAAAAAGATCATTAGCTGAATCAATTAAAATAAAGATTTTTAAGGCGTTCGCTACGTGATCGGGAGGCCCGGGTTGATTCTCGTTCGCGGCGCCGCGTCAAACCTAAGACGTAAATATAGGTAGTGACTGTTCCATCGTCATGCACTCGGCACCAGAAGTGAAAGTCACGGGTCTTTCGGATATGACCTTTAAAAACGTAGGTTCCGTGTGACGGTAGGCGTTGGCACGATAAAGAAACCCCCACTGCTCAATGGCCCTGAGTGCTGATTATAGATCTAAATTTGAAGCCCTTCATCGGCAAACCGTGACGTCTCCATATGAGTACAAAATTCTCGAGTGAGACTTTAAACAATACACAATCAATCAATCAATATAAAGTCAATAGTTTTTTTTCTCATCTTAAACATTATAAAATGATAAAATTGCAACTTAAGGTATTCAATGTATAACGAAGGGATTTTGACTGATTTCAAATAATTTTAAACTAGTTAAAAGCACATTGTTAGATAACGATAAAAGTTAAATGAACCAAATTCACAATTCTGATTATATTTAAGAAGACGGTCATTTTGCACATAAAAAGTTTTTGAAGAGTTATTTGCCCTTGATGAAAAGAAGAAAAAATTTGATTTTACAAAATTTCTGCGGTAAATAATTTATTTTATTTCATATTTTAATAAGGAGGGGGTTTAGGCATATTTTTACCAAGAGATTTGTTTGAAATTCAAATTACTATTTACAATATCTTACAAAAACATGCGCTGCCCATAGACTTCAATGTAAAATTCAAAGTGATATTAATTGAACAATAATCAAAATCTTGTAAATTCCTTTGGTGGAGAATTTTCCTTTGATAACATCATCAAAATCTACCATGATTAAAAATATCGGACCGTTCATTTATTAGGTACAAAATATGGTCGTTATACATTGAATACCTTAATGAACAGATTTTAGCCATGAAGTACCTGATAGTAGTGTAAACCTGTTGCAGGGACGTTGTTGTTACGTCGAATTACTCTTCTATTTAAACCGTCATAGTCGCTGACCTCAATAGTGTGCCTACCATAGTCTGCCCAGAACAGTAAATCTCTGTCTGTATCAACGGAAAGGGCTAATACTCGAATTAAACCGGTATGAATTATTGTAGTTCTATTCTCACCATCCATGGATGCCTTTTCAATACGTGGATGTGGTTCATTGTCCGTAAAGAACATTAAGCTGTTTCAATATATTGATTTGAAAAAAATAGTATTAAGCAAAATCTATTACTTATATATATTTTAAGGCACAAATGCTGAAAGCCAAAAGATATTAACGATTAACAGAACAGAAGAATGAAAAAAAACCCCACTTGTATAGAGATGGGAATGTATAAACTATTTTATCTTGCAAGAATCCACTTAAAATTTACAAAACTTTTCGAAATAAATTTGTCAGACATGAAAGCAAAGAGCGAAAGCCGCATTTCACATTTTTTGCACAGTATAATAATGACAAAATATAACTTAATGCAACTTATAGAAGAAAACCAAATATATCTAAAATTTTAATATTCTGATTTAGGACATTTCGCAGATATTTGTTCACTTCTGATAATATTTTCATTTTACCTACATATAATTTCAGTATTTAAATGAACATTTTTGAAAGTTTTCTACTGCAGTATATAGTTTACCCATTTTCAGGATCAAGTGCTAATCCCTCCGGTTGGTACAAATCCTTGTGAACAACAACTGTATATATCGTATCATTGTTACTGTATGCTGGCTTTACGGCAATCCATTTGAGGAGAGAATCGCACCAATATATATTGCCTGAAGAGTAGTCAAATGCAATTTGTCCAAACGCTGAGGATTTCCCTTTGTGAGCCAAGGAAAGGGAAACTGTTCCGTTCTGCCAAATGGTGAAGTTTTGAAATTTGTAAATTGAGTCCCTTATTGCAGCAAAAACCACTTTATTCTGAGGATCAGACGCAATGCTGTATGTCTGAACAGTCGAGGGGGTGAGGGTTTTAGATACATTGCCAAAATAATCAGCATCTTTGACTGGTATTTCTGTAATGGTTGCAAATGCAGCAGGACTCCACATACCAAGAATTAAGCCTTTGTCAGCAGCAGTACCTAAAATATGTACGTATTTTAATATGCAATATCTCAGTTTGAAAAATTGCTTCAAGGAAATTGGAGAAAAAATAGCTTTAGCACTTGTCTATGTTCAATGTTGATTTATTTAAACCGATTTACGTTATATTGGAAAAGGAACATTTTAATATTTAAATAAAAAATTACGACATCAATTTTTATAGAAAAAGCAAAAAGGAGCTTTAAAAAATTAAAAAATAAAAAATAAGACCAATGGACAGTTTCTTATATTTAAGAAATCAGATAACTAACGGTCAACAATAAAATAAACAGTAGTACTTCCACATGGTTTGTGACAATACACGGGATGTTAGTGACGTTTGACAACGATTTTCATAGCGCTGGGGAAAATTGACGTAAAGCTTCTAATAGTGATACATTTTTGACTGATACCCTTTTGCTTTATCTTTGTATTTGATACATTCGAGTTTAAAAAATCGTAGGTTATACTTATACATGACGGATATGGAAATAACGAACAGTATTCAATCTCAACGTCCATTAAACAAATATACAAAATAAGAGCAGAGCAAACACGGACCTCCGAAACATCAGAGGTGGGATCAGGTGCCATGGAGGAGTGAACATCCCCTGCAGACCGATCACACCCGCCGTGTGCTCGTTGTCATAATCAGGAAATAACGGAAAAAATCCGTGGTCAATTCAGTGTATAAATAATGGACTAACAATTGGTATGAAAAACGTCAGTCAGCATTTCATTCAATGATAAATTGTATTTGCTGACGAGGTCATTGTATCGACCATAGAATTTACGAAATGATGACTTTAAACGAGACTGTTGATATTCTTGTTTCATCAACTTGCTTCTCAATAATTTACCTCGTTTAAGAAATTGTTCATACGTAGAGCATGCTCTTGCGTATCGAATCAACTGAGATATAAATACTTTGTATGCAGGTGATGAAGGTATATTGCTGCATAAGTAAGGGAAGTTGACGATAGAGAAGTTAAAGTCATCACGTTTATCATATAGCTTGGTTGTTAGATTACCATTAGTGTCTTTTTCAAGTAAAATATCCAAGTATGAAGCAGAAGTGTCGGACTCTGTGGTATCTTTTATCTCAAGCTCACCAGGATATATTGTGTGGACGTAGGAATGGAAATTGTCATTATTAATTGACAATACGTCGTCGATATATCTAAATGTTGAGTTGAAGGCCACAGCAAGTGTTTTCTTCTTTTCACGCAAAAGATTTTGGATAAATTCTGCTTCATATGAATATAAAAATAAGTCTGCTAATAACGGAGCGCAATTTGTACCCATGGGAATTCCAATAGATTGTTGGAATACCTGGTCTCCAAAAACCACATAGATATTGTCAATCAGAAACTCAAGCATCTTCTTGATGTCAACTTCAGAGTACTTATGTGTGCAATCAGAATCTGTTTTAACGAAATAATTTTTCAAATGACCAATGACGAGGTAAGTAAACTTACGAGTTCCATTTTTGTTGAAGAAGCAGCTGTCAATGATATCAAAAAGCCTGGATTTTAATTTGCGGAATTGTTGTGTATAAAGTTGAAAAGTCGTAAGTTTTTATGCTGTTGATTTTTGTAAAGTCTTGTGGTTTACAAATGATAACGTTTGTTAATTGCACTCAAAGCACTCTCTTACGCGTTTTCGCGTACTTTTTTGATCGGGAAATATATAAAATTTAATCATCCGAGAAACAGGAATAACCTTATATTTGCATGTCATTTTAGACACTGGACATATCCGTTGAAATTGTGGCTAATTAACTTCTATAAAGGAAATATACAGTTTGATGTCATTAATGAAATAGTTCAGTCGATAAAAATCACATTATTTTGATACATTTTGTTTCTATTTAAGTCTTAGTGTAATTGACTAACATTTATGTTTATATTCATAAGCACGTTTTAATTAATAGCGTTTCAGATTCTTCTTTTTTAAATCTGACTTTCTCCTTCTTGTCATGATTGAATGCTAGAGGTAACAAATGACATGAATTGCTTTTGTTTTGTGAGAAAAATAAAATTTCTAGATTCAATTTTGAACGTTCTACACAAGATACGCCCCATCCCTGGGTAGATTTAATTTTTGCTACACGTCAACATTAAAATATGTATTGTGCACACATCGCAGGTCTTTTGTTGATTAAGTTTTATTAATAGGCCTTTGTAAATCCAAGGCTATTGGATATTTGATACGAACTGAGTTTTACGGGCAGTTAAAAATCCATTAATAGAATCAGGAAGACTTTCAAATTGAATGATATTTATAGGAAAGATGGGGATTTCATGAGTTTTGTTAACTTCTAATAGCAGATTAGAGACAAATTTAAAAAAAAGAAAAAAAGAAAAAAAAGAAAGGAACTATTGATTATATTCAGACTGTTTTAAAAATAAATTGCTTTTGTTTTTTTATGTCACACTTCTTGTTTTTCTCCCAAGAGGTAAAAAATATCCATCGCAAAATATTAAATCGAAATTTACGATAATTCTCAATCATTAAAAATAATTAAAAGGAATTTAATAAACCGTAAAAATGAAATTTGAATATTATGTAAACCACGAAAAGTGTAAATTCACTACATTTGACTACCTGTCAGCTATATCCTTAAGATTAAAATTGGTCAAAATATATTTTTGGACATATAAATTTTCATCTAAACACATACCACACTGAAAAGAACGTTCCGAAAATTTTGAAATAGATATATATTATAAAAACGCTGAAAAGGCTATTTGAATGAAATATGAATAAAAAGAACTTAAATCTTTAAATGTATTCTAAATGTGAAAAGGCAAATAGTGAATAAATAATATAATAATTAAACGAAAAAGTCTTTTTAGCATACAGTGATTTGTTCAAAGAGATTAAAGCCGAGTGATAAATTTATCAAGAAAAGATGTGCTTGAAATAATGTAATTCATGAACGCGTATGTTCATGTACTTTTTTCTTGCATTTCATATTCCCTTAAAAAGTTTTTAAAAATTCCTTTAAATTAATGCAAAGTTTTAAATATCTTAAAAATAATGACAAATTGAGTGTTGTTGAGAACTAACACGGTCTTTTGATTAAATAAAATGGTCTCCTACAATCAAAAGCCCGCCACTTATTGGTCTACTGGAAACAAATGTTTACAATTAAAAAAAAATCATCGGTCTCATACAATGAAAATTTCTACATTCATCAATTAGAAAAAAAAACACGACTTAAAAGTATATTTCGTAATTTAATTCATTTATTACATGGGCAAAAAAATTAAAAGCGCTTCTAATGCTGCAAATAATTATAGGGTTTTTATATTTTCAAACATTTATTTTCAAACTATATGAATTTGATTCAGCAGTAGAATTATTTTCTATGAAACTATGAAAATAATTACCGTATGTGATGGGTCCAAATACTGATGCTAAAACTAAGAATTTTGCTGCATGCAAAGTCACCATCTTCCTGTTCCAAAAGGCAACTACCTGCACCCGTAATAAGAAGTTTAAACTAGGAAGTTTTGGTATGCTTGGCACAAGTATTGTATGTATTATATATAGTGCATCTATCTATAGAACTTACATAATCCAAATGTTTTTAATAGACAAAACATTTAATTTCAAAAGAAAATAACTCGTACTCGTTGAATGCATCTATATTATTAGGAAAACTCAATCCTAGGTCAAACAAAGTAGGTATTAAAAAGATTTTACATGGCCATGTATATAAAAAAATCTGTATTATTTTTTCGGCATACAGTTTAAATGTTCATATCAAATGAAATAGTGTTGAATCGTATGCAGATTTTTTTAACCCTCTAAATATCCATTTTGTCATGTTGTAAATATTCAGTTACCAACATGTAAATGCTGGTGGCTGTAATACAAAATTTACAACATTAAAACTCTACTCACAACGGGGCAGACTTCATAAAAGTATTGTAGATGACAAATGTTCCACTTAAACTAAGATCTAAGAATTTTCTAGTGTTGGCAACGAGTACCCGGTTAACCGTCGAACGATGCGAGTATCGGTTAGTAAAATTGCTATTCGGTTACTCGGATAAAATGCATCTTACATGTATATGGTAAATAGCTGAAAAATGGAATGTTTATTTGTTTTTAAACGTACAAATAAACATTTCTCCAATTTTCTTTACCGTTAGACTTAACGATCTACATGTATGGTTTCACTAATACGATTTGTTGGTTTTCACACTTAATTGATAGCTTTGATTGCCAGCAGTTTATACAAGTTTTGAAGACCCAAGTTATATAATTACCTCATTAAATAATTTAACAAGATGCCGCCAAAGATATGTATATGTATGCACATGTATACCTTGGAAGTATTTAAATAAAAACAGCGGAGGGAATACTTGTAAAATGTAATTAATGCAAATTGGAGTTATCGTGACTTCAAATTTTTAAATAATTATTCTCCTAGCTTGATCGTGACATATATCGGGGGTTGAAAAGTAAAACCATTGTAAAATAGCGCGAAACATTGAATATTCATTTTTTTCTGATTTTAATTTTTTGATTATAATTGTATATAAAATTCAAGATATTGCACGCGTGCTCTTTTTAACTTTATAAATAAAGTAAATTCACAATACCTCTGTGTTTTATTAGAAACGATGAGTAAAAGATGAGATAATTGATACATATGAATACTCAGTAAATCATCCGAGTAACCGGGTACTCGATCGAAAGATTAAGCGAGTAACCGGTTACAAAAAATCGTCCGATTTGCCAACACTAGAATTTTCCCATACATTTCAATGTAAAAATAAGATTTCTTATTAACTCAGATGGTAATCATATTGCAGACCAGTCTGCCATTCTAGATGAACAAAGGTCCTTTTTCTCAAACTTGTACAAAAGTAAAAAGGATAATAATAACTAGGGCTAATTGTAACGGGGACCGTTACAGATGTTCCCCAAACGCTCCCCAACTCCCTTTTGGTGCCGTATTCCCTGTACGCGCTATTAAGTAAGACACACTTTATGCAATTTAGACTTAAACAACGTTTTCCCAGAAGAATGCAAAATGTATTTAAATTTTAGCATTGCACGCGTGCTCATCTGTATGCATGTGCGTAATGACTACATCATCTCGTCTACACTATATATATATTTTAATATACTTAATAACAAATCAATTAATCCAGAAGTATTAGAAAATACACTCATTTAAGCGTATTTTAATATTACTCATTTCACATGCATGCACGTGCATGCACGTGCATGAGGACTATACCTTCTTGTAGGAGTCTATTATGTCTGTCTATGTTCTAAATCCCATCCTGTTTGGTTGAAAAACAAGGGAGTTATAGCCATTTACAGTTTTAGCCAATAAGATTGCAGCACACGTGCATGCGCGTGTTTTCACGACAATTGTTATATATCATATTGTAGTACATCCTAAAGTATGCATATATTTTAGATTTCATAGCATTTCGTCAAAAAACAAAAAAGATATTGAGATTTTTGTTTCAGCCAATCAGAACGAAGCGCACGTGCACGTACGTGCATGATGACCATACCTTCTTGTAGGAGTCTATTATATCTGTCTATGTTCTAAATCCCATCCTGTTTGGTTGAAAAATAAGGGAGTTATAGCCATTTCAAGTTTAAGCCAATCAGATTGCAGCGCACGTGCATGCGCGTGTTTTCATGACAATTTTTATATATAATTTTGTAGAACATCCTAAAGTATGCCCTTATTTTAAATTTCATATTATTTCGTCAAAAAACAGAAAAGATATTGAGATTTTTGTTTCAGCCAATCAGAGCGAAGCACACGTGCATGCGCGTGAGTTCGTGCTAATTTGACAGTGTCATATTATCTACACTATTAATATATCTTTATATGATGAGTTTCAAATCATTTAATTAAAAAATGTAAAAGTTATAGCGATATTAAGTATATCGGTCAGTTCACTCATTTCACGCGCACGCACGTGCATGCGTATGCGCGCAAAATGACCTTCGTTCCGCACACCTACACTACACACCTATTAACCCTAAAAAGGTTTTAGCTTAGTTGGGTGAACAGTTTCTGAGAACACTCGCGGACAAAAAAGTACCGGAGAACAAAGAAGAAAAAAAAGAATAATAATAATAATAATAATAATAATAATAATAATAATAATAATAAGAAACCGAGTAAAAACAATATGTTCCCAAACTCCGTTTGGGGAACATATTAATGACACATTTTTATGTGAAAATATCTTTTTACAACATAATGTCAAATTATCGGATGAACAAAGGGACAACTGTGAAGGTTTTTTGAAACTTCAAGAATGCACAACATCATTAAAAAATATGAAAAACAAAAAATCCCCAGGATCGGATGGGTTTACAGTGGAATTTTACAAGTTTTTCTGGAAAGATATAGGTATTTTTGATTTGAAATCTTTAAATGAAGGGTATATAACTGGAAAACTTTCACAGTTTCAATCTCAGGGGGTAATTACATGCATTCCAAAAGAGGAAAAGGATAGAAGATATATGAAAAATTGGAGACCTATTTCATTGTTAAATGTAGATTACAAAATTGGATCTAGTACCGTAGCAAATCGCATTAAGAATGTGTTGTCCAGTATTATAAGTGATACTCAAAAAGGTTTTATAAAAGGGCGTTTCATATGTGAAAACACCAGGTTTTTATACGACTTAATAGATTACCTTAAAGATAAAAAACAATTTGGTTTGCTCCTTTTATTAGATTTCGAAAAAGCTTTTGATTCTTTAGAATGGGATTTTATTGTTAAAGCATTAAAGTCTTTTAATTTTGGAGATTCATTAGTTAAATGGTTTAAGACCTTCTACTCAACCAGCACAAGCTGTGTGATAAATAATGGAAGCTTATCCTCCTTTTTTAATCTTGAACGTGGATGTAGACAGGGAGACCCTTTGGCACCATACATTTTTATCATTACTGTAGAACTACTTGCAATCTCACTGAAGAATAATGAACACATAAAAGGTATATCGATTAATGGGAAAGAAAATAAACTAGGACAATATGCAGATGACTCATTTTTAACATTAGATGGAAGTGAAAAATCTTTGAGAGAATCAATGAAAATAATCGAAAAATTTGGAAATGCTTCTGGTTTGAAGCTTAATATTTCAAAATCTCAAGCAGTATGGTTGGGAAGCAAGGCAGGATCAAAACAAACTCTATGTGATGACTTAAAAATTAATTGGAGTGCTGATACCTTTAAGCTCTTAGGAATAATTTTCACAAAAAACTTAGAAAATATTGTTTCTGTCAATTATCGACCCAAAATAAATTCTATCAAAAAATTGCTTGCATCTTGGGCAAAAAGAGATTTGACCCCAATAGGAAAGATAACAGTCATTAAAACCCTTGTTATTCCAAAATTTGTGACCTATTCTCAGCTCTTCCAAATCCATCAAAGGAATTAATTAATGAGATCAATAAAATTTTATTTCAATTTATTTGGGCGTATAAGGTGGAAAAAGTAAAAAGAAATACGTTGATAGGAAAAATTGAAGAAGGTGGACTAAACATGATCCATTTATCCTCCTTTATTTCATATATAAAACTTAAATGGGTCAAGAGAGTCCTCACAGACAACAGTGGAGCATGGCAGCAATTATTGTCCTGTATTTTTAATCAAAAAGATTTTGACTTTGTTTTTTATTTAACCAAAGAAAAACTCTCAGAATTTTTGAATTATATAGGCAATGATTTTTGGAAAGATGTTATAAAAGCTCTTATAATTGTTAAAAAAGATTCTTTGAGTGCTACAGATTATTTATATACTGATATTAGAAATTTTGTTGATGTCAAAAAATGGAGTTTTTACAAGACTTGGGTGGAAAAAGGTATTAAAGTATTGAAAGACTTGTTGTCGGATGATGGAAAATTTAGGTGTTTTAATGATGTTAAAAAAATAGTTGGTACTAATAATTTTTTGAATTATTTTAATATTGTATCAAGAGTACCAGCAAGAGTCAAAAGGGAAATAACTGTTTATATGGCAGAAAGAGGAAATTAACTTGCAGCACCAGAGAAATGTGTTATACAAAAAATGATGTCTGTGACAAGTATAAAATTTTTATTTAAAATTATAAAAGATAAGAATTTTGTGGCACCAGAATCCAAAAAGTTAAAATGGGAGATTTATTTAAATGAACCTTTTACAGAAAAATCTTCATGAAATATGCCTACGTGACATGTCTGTGTGATTCACACACCAATAACTCACACAAAACTGAAAAACATTCCTTAAATAAACATTATTTAATTAAAATTTCAATGTTAATTAGATTTATATTTGTGCATCTTTTGGTGTATTGTACGAGGGTTGTTAGAAAAGTTCCTGGACGATGTCAATCTTCGTCATATTACTCACTGGAAATTTAAAATAAGCACATTATAATATGTAAAAATATTTGTTTTGTTGTTCCATCCAATTTAACAGAAATCAATTTATTTCATT